ACGACGCGGCCGCCCCGCGGGCTCCGGTGCAGCGGGCGGTGGCGATGCCCGGCGCCTGCTCCTGGAGCGGGGCGGCCCCGCGGGCCGCGGAGGGGGCCGGAGGCGCCGGGAAGGGCCGGGGGGGCTCGGCGGGACGCGCGGTCCGGGAGCGGCGCGGGAAGGGGCGGTGAGCGGGAGGGGCCGCCCGCGATCCCGCCCCGCTGACGCGCCCTCTGTGTTGCAGGTGACGGTGGCGGACGGGGACGCCCCGGCCGAGGTGAGTGACACTGGGGCTCTGTGACACTGGCGACGCTGTGACACGCGTGGGGCAGGCGGGGCCGGACCCGTCCCGCCCGCTCACGCCCCTTCTGTCTCTCTCTCTCTCTCTGTCTTGTCTCTCTCTCCCCGCAGCCCAAGCGGCGATCGGCGCGTCTGTCCGCGGTGAGTGCGGGAGCGGCGCGGCCCCTGCGGGACGGGCGGTGGGTGGACGGGTGGGTGCGTGGGAGCACCCGGGAGGGGTCACCCGGGGCGAGATCTCCGCCTGACTTGTGTTCTCTCTCTTCAGAAACCCGCGCCGGCCAAAGCGGAGCCGAAGCCAAAAAAGTTGCCGGCAAAGGTGAGGGGGAGGAGGTGCTGACTGGTGGCATCCCATGTCGTGTCCTCGTGTTTTATTCCCTGTGGGAACGCTCGGTTTGGCTAAAATACCGTTTTAAGGCGCTTCTGCCGTGTCTGTAGGTACATTCCACCACTCTTTGAGTAGATCCATGTTCAGGTCTCAGGTGTGGCATGGAAATGTGGGCACTGCTCCATTGGTAGTTTGGTATTGGGTGGAACTACTTGAATGTTAAAGCAATTGGACATCAGGAGGAATTTCTTCATGTAAAGGGTTGTTAAGCGTTGGAAGGGGCTGCCCAAGGAGGTGGTGGAGTCCCCCAGTCCCTGGAGGTGCTCAGGAAACAAGTGGATGTGGCACTCAGTGCCCTGGGCTGGGTGACAAGGCACAGGTTGGACCCGATGATCTTGGAGGTCTTTTCCAGCCTCAGTGATCCTGTGATTCTGTTCAGAGGGTTATATTTCACCACTAGAACAAAAGGGGATAGAATATATGTACTCACATTTTAAAGCAGTGTTGTTAGGGCAGGAAAAAAAACAATTTCTTAGCCACTTAAAAATACCTCAGTTTCCATTTTTTAACTGGAGTTTTTGGTTCTTTGTGTATGTGCAACAAAGTGTGGGTTTATTACCATCCTTAAATTTTTCAGCACAGCTTTCGCAGTGCCAATAACTGAGGTGATTCCCTAATTTCAGACACCCTAACACAGAGCTCTGCTTTGCAGACAGATTCCTGATGTTTTCATTGTGCTCATCCTATTGAACAGTTCCTTCCCAGGAATGCCCCTTCTTTCCAGTGGTTTGATTATCACTGTGCTCCCACTCTCAGGGCTGTGAGCCTGAAGACTTTGGGGAAGCTTTCCAGTGTTACTGCAGCTGTAATTCTCCTTTTTCCGGTGCCTATAATGCACAGGGAAGAACTTCTGTCATCACTTCTAATTGTTAATTACCAATTAATTGTTAATTACCAGTCAAATGATAGATTTTTTTTTAAATTCTGCTTTCTGTATTTGACCCACTAAAATGCACTTTTTCTGCATCAACTTGGTCGCTTTTTAAAACTTTCCTGACAGTATCTTTTCTGGTTGGGAGAAGTTTGCTCATTATGGACTTACTTGGTGGGGTTTTTAAATAAATCCTGATGAAGAATAATAGATTTTGACAATAAAACCATAGAGATCTGTTTGCTGCATTTATGTGAGTCTGAAATATTTTGCAAGGAGGGGGATCAGGGGCTGTTGGTAGCTTAGCAAGCCCATCTTGGTTTTCTGTGCTTTTTTTAATTATTTTCAGAGTTTACCTGGTAAATCCTAGGAATTTATTGACTGGAAATGTATTTCATTGTAGGATAAATCTGAGGACAAGAAAGCTCAGAAGGGGAAAAAGGGGCCTAAAGGCAAACAGACAGAAGAGACGAACCAAGAGCAGACAAAGGACAACCTGCCTGCAGAAAATGGGGAGGCCAAAACTGAGGAGGTAAAAGTTCGGAGGGCTGGGTTTGGGTCTGGCTGGCAGAGGAGTTTCCTCCTTGCCACAAAAATGTTTTGACAGATAGAATGTTCTTTTTCTTGGGACTGGAGAGAGTTTTCAGGGAAAATGGTTTGAGCAAAGCTGAGGTAACATTTACAGACTGTGCTGGGAGAAGGGACAGGTTGGTTCAGGGCTGGAAGAGAAGGTGGGAGACCCAGCTGAGAGCTGTTGATGGTGAAGTGTTTGAACCTAAACACTTGCACACTGCAGGAGTGCTGGAATGCAGGAATAATTCAGCTCTAACTTAGGACAGCATCTGGAAGGAAGAGCAGTGTCTTTCAGGGCAGCTGCCAACGTGAAACACGAGTGTGGTGCCAGCCCAGAACTGCTCACAGGTGTCTGTGATAACGAAGCCCTCACTTTGATGAGTTCAGTGGGCCCTGCTGAGCAGAGTCAGATGATTTTTTAATTTATTTATTTTATTAATGCTTCCTGTGGGCTCTCTTCTTGCATTGCAAAGTAATTTTTTAAGATGGAAATGTTGTCCCACTGATCCATCTGTGTACAGACCTTCGAGTAGGAGGTTTTTAGGAAAGCACAGGATGGTCCTGGAGTCATTTGCTCATGGTGTAAGTTTGTCATTTGGAAGCTTAGACTGATCTTTGTGAAAAGTTGGGATCTAACTGGGAATTACTCAGTTGGCTCAACTTTTTGGCATCATTACAATCACGTAATTTGTTGGGTTTTTTTTAACTTCTGCCATCTTCATGCTGGACTTGTGCTGGTCAGCCCAGCCAAAGTTTCAGGTGTAACCCAAAAGCAAAGTCCAGGAGAGGCAGAGTCTGTCCTGTTGGATGTCACTGGCTTGTGTTTCTAAGGTTTAGTTACTGTAAAACAGGGTAAGATTGGAGAATATTTTAAAGCCAAAGCCCCTCCAGTCAGGAAGGCAGCAATTCCAATGAAGATGAAACTCAACATCCTGCCATTCACACTGGGGGGATCCAAGGAGCCTTTCCCAGTCCAGGAGATCCTGATCCAAGAGGAATAAGAAGCTCGTGGCACCAACTTACGCAGCCCCATCTGCAGGAATGAGTCAGGGTTGTTCTCTGTGTCATTTTGTGCATTAAACCAAACCAAGAGCCTGAGCCACTTTAAAACTTCCTGCACTGAAATGTCCTGGTTTGTTTTTTTGTCTCCTTTCAGCCCCCAGCACCTGACGCAGCTGCAGAGAAAGAAGTGAAGTCTGAGTAAACCCCCCCCCCCAAGCTGTAACTGGTGGCCCTCCAACCTTTCTTCTTGTACAATTCAGAGGAATATTTTTATCGACTATTTTGTAAATGCCAGTTTTTTAGTAGTTCTAGAAAAAACACGTTTTTTAAAAAGCAAAA